AGGGGAACAACACCCCATCACCCTTCTGTGAGTGTTTTATCAGTGGCAGCGTGAAATATGAAATATAGCCAGACATGCTTGTCCTCGCCTGCACCCTTCCAGGCATCCAAACACACACCAGTTCGCAGCCACCACTCCGCAGCATCAATACTGCTGCCATGGCAACCAGCCTCAATATCCACGGGAACAGACTGTACAGAAACGTTCTCTGTGATGACAGTAGATACTTCAGATAGAACACACAGGCATTTAGTTTGAACACTGGTTTCTAAAAGGCGACACCCTGCACTGATTCAACCCCACAGGTAGTCTCTGTCATTCCTCAGCTTACGCATTCATTAAAGGTGATTTGCAAAGCCTTAGTTTTCAAACATTATCCACATAAAAAGGTGAATCTGTACTTAAGAGGTTCAGTTGAAAAACCTGCCTCTAGGGCACAATGGCACTGCCCTGTTGCACCTCTGATAGTCAAAATAAAATACAAAAAAAAACTACTTCCTGGTTACAATTCAATGTATTCAGTCTGAGGAACTGAGTCCTTCATTACTGAACTTCTGCCATCAGGCCCGCTACAGTCTGTAAGGCTGTCATTGGACGACATTGTTCTGAATGAAGTACCCCTTTTTTTTTCTGAATGAACTGCAGTGAGTAGGAATTTGCAGATCTTCGCAGCATTAGTTGATGTTCTATGCACATGGCTTCAGTGATGTAACCCAGCAGACAGGTTTTTTTTTCTTTTTTCTTTTTTCCTTCCTTCATAGCTTCTGGTTGCTGCTCACATTAAGCGCACATTAAGCAGAGCTGTGACCTGCTTTTATCAGCCAGACAGAGGCAGGTAAACACAGACTCCCCTCTCTTATTCCTGCCTTTTGAAGTTCTCCAGCTGTGACATTTACTTTGACATTGCAGGTGGCAGGCGCCCTATTTCTGTCTTTGTACCGAAATCTTTCTCTCGGTTGCCGCGCGAACCGGCAAGAGGGCGGATACGAACACAAAAAAAAAGATTTAAAGGAATCCCTAACTGTTTCAAGATGTGATATAATTTAATTCGAAACTGTCAGAGGGCATGGCTCTGAGTGGAAGTCATGGAACACAACAGCACATTAGAACAATTCATCACCCTGTTTGATTATGCTAGATTTGATTATGTAGATTGTTGTCAGCAGGCTATTTGGATGTAAATCAGTTTACTGGAGAATAGCAATGGGAGGCTTTATGAGCCCCAAGAAAAATGAAGCTACTGTGTGCTATTGATCAATAACTTTTTGAACTGATCAAAACCCTTTTCCCCATAGCAAAACACTATGATTGGCTCAAGGAGTGAGTAACTCTTGATAGCCCTATACATGTTTTAAGGTTCATAACACCTCTCTCTTCCATCATCACTGAATACAAAGCACAAAAAGAACCCTTTTGGCTTGTAGGGTAGTCTAGTGCCCTGTTTTGAATCTGAAAGCAGTCTTCACAGTCCAACAAACACACTGATCTACCCACCAGTTCACTCAAAGCTGCGAGGAGAGGACTGTGGGTAGATAGTGTATGGTAGATCTGATAATACCATGTACAGCTGGAGTGGCAGAAAATATGACCTCATAATGCATGAATGCGGAGAAAGTGATTACTTACCTTTTATGCCACTGAGGCAACACATTCAGTAAAAATGTGCACTTAGCAAGCATGTAAACCATGAGCTAACACTGTTTTCCTCTGGTGTGGTTTATTTCAGAAGGAAACCCAGATAGCATTTATGAAACAGTAATTCTTAGTTTCCTTTATGTATACTTTCAGTTATCACAAGAGTGCTAAAAGACCCTTTGCCTGCTTTTAAAAATGTTTTTGTACAATTACTGATGATGTATTGATGTCTTTTTTTTGATTGACATGATTATGGATTTCAGATATATCCATGTATTTATCACCTATAAAGGACAGCTGGGGACCTTAACAACACTCTCCATGCCCACGTACCGTCTTGCATCCGTCACTCATCCAAATTCCAATGCGGTACAAGCACCCAAAAGCAAACTGCAGTAACTGGGTGACAGAGCTTTCTTGACCCTGGAATGCTCTGCATACCTTCATCAGACAGTCTGTGCCTGTAGATATTTGTGAAGTGCAACGTTTCATTTGTAATCAGGCTTTTGAAGGTGTGTTTAAAAACCTTATTGCTCCTTGTGGGGTATTGCTGTAATCCTTCATTTTAACATATGCTTTGTGTTTCATCCTATGCATCAGTATTCTGGGTTTTAGACAAGCCCAAATAGAATTTATTATTTTTTGTTATTGTTGATTTTTTTTTTATACAGACACAAGCTTTTTCCATCTTTTCCCCATCTTACCAAGTTCTTGCCTGTAAGACTGTCCAGTTCCATCGCCCTCTGGCCCCTCGCCCCTCGGTTTTGGGAAAGCTGTGACCCTACTGCATGCCCCCAGTGGCAGGCTGTATACGATATTCCTCTTTTTTTTTCTGGTGCTACAGGTGGAGGTGACGTATGAATTTGATCTGAATTTGCTGTGTGCAATCCGATTACAACTTCAGTATAATGTTTTAAAGAAAGGTTAGGCATAAAAAATTTAATGCACTTTTTTTTCCTTTTACAGCGTTTTTATGTTCCTGTTTACTCATCCATGAATAAAAGTATCGATGATTCAAAATGGATGGCACTGTGTATATCACAAAACTGTGGAATGAGAGCAATATGTAAAGAACCCAGACCATCTTTATTTTAAAAGGCTTGTATGCAGATCTGCAGCAGCCATCACTGGAGAGTTCATGGCCTGCTCACTCTCTTTCAGTCTCACAGGCGGCTTTGAGAAGCCAACTTTCCCCCTCATTCTGTTTACATAAACAAAACTGTGAAACGGCCGTCAGCAAAGGTGACATTGCAGCATCCCACAATGCACTTCACCTGGTCTCCGGGGGATGGGACAGAACCGGTTTCCTTATTTTAATACAGACCTGCCTGAATAAAAATAATGCGAGTAAGGCATGCAACTTTAAGATTGCCGTAACTTTGTTCTTCTGACTTGCTTCATATTTGAGCTGAATATACTGATGACAAAGAAATCAAAAGAGAGTATTCTAAATCATTTCTTAATTTTCTGCTTTACTGTCTTCCATTCTGTCTTAAGACAAAATGAAAAGGCAAGTAATATTTCCTTTAGGCGGTCTGCTTCTTCAGAAATGGATATATTGTTATAATTTCTCTCAAAATATCCAAGTCAATCTACTTTCAACCACTTCCTGGTTTAGTGAGCTGCACCTTGTTTGAATGCCGAGAAATATTTTAGGTATAAGACTGAAAGTATGTAAGGGTATTATTATCATTGCACTTTGACGTTAGTTGTTGTAATTTTCATTGTTGTAGCACTTCACTTCAGTCTGCATTCAGCATGGCACAATCAATTTTAGCACCATGCAACATCTTGACACTTGTTCAGATGTTGTCTGTATGTGCCATTTATATAGCCTGATTATATACAAATAGAAAAAGATGGGTATGGGAGCTCTGGAAATAAGATGGGTAAGGGAGCTCTGAGTGGATATCTGCTACACAAATAAACAATCCATAAATATGCAAGCCATGTGCGTTTTCTGTATTAATTAATGAGGCTCAAACACAGCTACATAACTATCTCTTTTCCTGTTTTAAAAAATCATGTTATGACTTATGAATGCTGTGAAACGCCTGCAAATATTGAGTCATATTGCATTTTCAAGAAAATATAAAAAGCCATCTGCTAGCATAGCTTCAGCATCTGTTTTTCCTTCTCATTAGCAGAACTGTAGCACAGTACCAGTAGCTAATTAAAGAATATAGAGAGTTTACCCAAGTGTGCTTTGCTTTGCCAGTGTATAGCTTGTATTAATTAATGTTTCTGAAACAAAGTAGAAGGGTCAGTTTAGAGTAGCATGCTTTTTGATGCAGACAGCTGAGATTTCCTTCAAGGCTGTTAACACCGGGCCATATATAATTTTGAAATTCAAAAATGCAGATGATTAATTGACTGAGAAAGTGATGGAATTTTCAATCATATTAATGAAAATAATGTACACATTTCTGTAGACTGGTTTCTCTCAGTTGTCAGTGTTCATGAAATGATTGTAAATGACTACATGTATTAAAGATTTTCTGAACACTAGCTACATGGCATTAAGTATTGCTGCAGCGTTATATGCCATATTACTAACTAACTAATGAATTTATTTCAAACCAGCACATTGAGCTGAAATTGTCATCCACCAGTACTACCAATGCATCTTAAAATCAAAGCTAATTGACAATGCAAGGAGAGTGAGATATTGGTTCACATGTGTGAATTTTTATTAAGACATTTTCCTTGAAATGTCTATAAAAGCATTCAGAGAGCAAAGCTTCAAACCAGAAATATATATTTTAATACATATTTATGCACCCAAGGCTTCTAAAAAAGAGTAAAGGCATTAAATTTCAGATTCCTCTGCCATGCTTTGCATTTCTTTTAACTGCAGTTGCTGAATTATGAATATGTGTTTGAGGCAATTAAAGCAAGTCAGGAAACATATTTGTGGAGGGCAGTCATGCAATCCATATTCAGTAAAGCATTTCATAGTCTGACATTTAAACATGCAGGATGTCTGTGCACACGGCATGCTGTGGGCTCACGTGAAAATAAAACAAAACTCAGCGTGAGATGTCTTAGAAGCAATGTTACAAATGGCAGGAGTATTTACATTAGATCTTAGATCTCACATGTATGGATACACACATGCACACACACCATTGGTGTTTTACATTACACTGGACTGGACAGATTTTTGTGTGCTCTCCTGTGTTCTCTGGGAGTGTGGCTGTGCCCTGTGTAGTTCATATTACATTACATTATTGTCATTTAGCAGATGCTCTTATCCAGAGCAACTTACATAGGTTACAATTTATGCATGTTATCTGTTTATACAGCTGGATATTTACCGAGGCAATTCTGGGTTAAGTACCCTGCCCAAGGGTACAGCAGCAGTGCCCCTGCAGGGAATTGAACCAGCAACCTTTTGGTTATGAGCCCAACTCCTTACCACTATGCTACACAATGAATCAAAATGGAGGGCACTGTGTATATCACAAAACTATGGAAGGAGAGCAATGTGTAAATAACCCAAAAAGGTTGCTGCAGCCCATTTTATTCTGTCCACAAGCAAGACTGCACTATGCAGCCCCTCATAAGTCCTTCATAAATTATTTCAGCGCGTAAACCAATTGGCCTGTAAATGCCCTTCAGTATAAATCTACCAGAACCTGGGGATCCTGTGCACTGTGATGTATTCACATGCAGCACGAGCTGGTGCTGCTTTAAGGATTCTTCCTGCCTCTGTACATTCAGTTTACAGGATTATGCACCGCTGTTCCATATTCCTCACCCTCCAGTTCTGCCCTCTCCCATCCCGATGAACCAGTGTAGCCACTAGATTGGCTCCTGAGTTCTTCCTGAATACGATTTGCAGGATCTCGTCCTGCATGCAGCAACGTTCCGCATTTAAAATCAGAGCATGGACGAGGATCCACACACTCTGAGTGTGCGGCAGTACCTTTGTCTCTCCCATAAAAACGATTAATGTAATAATAATAATAATAGTAATAAATAATTCTGAGATGCTAGTTATTAACACACTGCAACATAATGCTTCCAGATCTGTAACTGTAAAGTTTGCCCACTCTAGTCAAATCTCATTCATTCATTCTCGATGCTCCTTGAGGACCATCAGGCATCCACAGTTCTAGTCAAATCTACTGTCTCCTAAAGAAAAGTCTGGTATTCACAATCACTTTGCTATGTATTGCAATACAGGAAACCTGGCACTGTAGTCTAGAACATGTTATGTCTGATATTGTGTGGCTCCTTTGAATTACCACCTTTTTCTATGTTTACCAAGTTATGGTGCACTGCAACAGAAAATACACATCATTACATCTTGGGATTAATTCATCAAAATCCTAAAATCTCAGCTGAATCCATTGTGGAACAGTAATGGAAATGTAATGTGGAAATGTAATGTAACAGGACATGTAAAATATCCTAATTGTATCTGTGTACCTCCATGTTTAACACTTGTATTCAGTGGAGAAACACATTACTAAAAGTCACAGTTATCTCTAATGACATAAACAAGGTGACCAGAGGAAAAAGATTGAGTTTTCTGAATCATTATACATAATATACAGATTCATAAAGATGCTTGGCCAAAGCTGAGTGTATCCCTAACTATGAACACAGACACTCTATTTGCCAAACAGATATTCAGCTGCATGAGCTTCTGCACTTAAAACCATGTCTCTAGCTGGCTGTTCTTAAACCTGAATGTGTTCTGATTTGCCATTCCATTAATATTAATGCTACGGTGTGGCTGAGGAAAGAACATTCATATCTAATATACCAGCATGGACAGCACCGAAATCTACAGGGAACTCCGAGACACGGAGAGAGCGCATAGCGACGGTCGCTAACAACACTGCAGAACAGCGAGGTAGAAGTTACAGTTTATTAGTCACTGGCTAACAAAACACAACATAGACAACTTCACAGAGTTCGAACAGGGGGCGTATAAATTATAAAGGTAAAATATGTGGGGGAGGAGGTGAGGAACAAGCACATGTGGGCAGATGCACACAGACGTATCTAAAAATACCGTGTTCATTAGAACAATGTGGCAAGAATATCACACCCTCCAACAACACTGGGAAACAGGAATCCGCTGACGCTAACTAGCCAGCATTTCCATCGGAAACATTCCTGTGAATATGAAAATCCTTTTAGTCATGGACATTCTGGATGTACACAGCTGTGTGGCAATCGGAAGGCATATTTTATATGACGAATTGCACTTCATAGAGAACTGTCTTTGGTGACCGATGGTGAGCAAATCTAGAGTTTTCTCTCATGTGATTAGGAATGTATTTGGGTCGTTTTCATGTTTCATGCACACATGCATGTATACACGAAAAAATACAGCGAAAAAAATCGATCATCAATCAAGGACACGTGGCATACATAATGCAACGCATAATGCAAAATGCACACTTTCTGCGAATAACAGAATGTACCTGCTGTGTTCCTGCTGTGAGACACGGGTGTATTTTGAGTGGCTGAGAACAGCAACCTACCATCAGCATTCTGAGTTAAAGTGATCTGATAGCCCTGTCAAGTAGGCTGGCCAGTAAGGACCTGGAGGAGGCCAGATGTGACAGTACAAGGGCTTCAGCCAGGAGTGTGGAGAGAGAGACGGATTCATGTTGTGTTGCCGAGGAAGAATCCACAGATCTGCAGATTTACAGAACCTGGACATTGCCTACGTCTGACACACCATATCTAATCACGCCAAGCGATAAGGCAAATACGAAGCAGTGAAATGCTTCTTTGTCAGGTCATTGGAAGGCGCAGGACATATGGTAGTATGATGCAGTACTAACTGTATGCTGGCTGTTCTGTATCTCTGTGCTTGCTCTTCTTAATGTATCTTGCCATACTGGCCTTCTGAGATATGAGTGGCTGCCTAATAAATAAATAACAATAATGTATGAACATTGTATCTGCCCAGCAGCAGTTTATGGCAGGGGACAGCTGTTGCCACACCCCCTAGGAAGATGGGACTAATAAGATTGCAGAATCAGGGGAGGGGCGGGGAAAACTGAAACAATCAGTCACAGCAGGAAAGCAAGCATTCAGGTACCATGCAGTTGCAGTTCATTGATTGCTTTTGGATAAATGCAAGCCAAAGTGATGAACTACAGACTGACAAACCAAAAATTAAGTTCCTGTCATATCTTTCACCTCCCTCCTATTTCCTACAATATGTGCTGGAACAAAAAAACTTCATTTTCAGAGGGGAAAAAAATAGGGAACACAAGTCGCAGTGCATTTTGACAGCAGTATTTTTGCCACAAAATTGTGTGTGTCAGTTTACAAAAGGTGGAGTGCAAATGTCTTGTCCTGTTTTTGCACCTTTTCATGTCATTTTATTAGATGTACCTTTAAGTTCAGGATAAGAGCGTCTGCTAAGTGACAATAATGTAATGTAATATGTAAAGCAAGTTTGCAACACCCTTTGCTTCTCTTGCTAAAGAATAATTTGACTGAAATGGCAACCAATTGAAGGCATCTTTAATATGCCAGTTATGCGCAGGAATAAGGCTATGCATGTAGCTTGAGAGGGCAGAGTAACAGAAAAAACTAGGAAAAGGCATTTTTATCAACTGAAGTTCAGCTTTTGGCAGATGAAATTCAGCAGCACCAAAATAGCAGAGCTATCTATTAAATAAATGATTTTGTGACCTGAAGCAGAGAACAAAGAAATAACATTTGATTTACTCTCAATCAGGTTTTTAGTTTTTACAGCTGGTTTCAGTCTTTACAGTGAAAATTTACATTCACTCTGTGTATCTCCCATCAATTAAGTGAATACATTCTTTCTTATGAATAGTTCTTTGTCATATTGTAATACATATATAATTAATGTTGGATTGTGTTAATGGCTGGCTTGCTAAATAGATAGCCTACTACCAGCATAGCACAATATCCTCGCTGACAATGCATACACTCCCTTAGGCAGTTAGCAATGATGACACATGGCATATTTGCACCAAGAGGGAGGCTTTCAGTTTCATTGTGCCACTGATTTTTATGTTTGAAAATACATCTTGACAGCTATCTTAAGCAGCAAAAATGTTTTTCACACTATGGTTGTGTTTTCACCTTCTGAAAACTAGGCTGAATATGTACAAAAAAGAACAAAATGAAAGTAAAAGTAGTGCCCAGAATGTAAGCTGAATTTGTGGCGTTTCTACTTGAGTGCGCATTTCAAGGTAAACTAAACCTGCTTCAGCCTGCTCCTGCTCGTGATGGAGTACACCTGATGGAAATTATGTAAATGTGATGTAAATTTAATGCTTATGAAGAAGGTGCACACTCTGTCTCATATGTTAATTATGTTATCTACATCCCTGTTGATGCAGGACAAATCCCTGAAAGGATGACTAAAACTATTCTACTCTGTTCTATTCTATTATTTTTATTAAGCACTGACTTCAAATGTTAGCACTCCCTATTGTGAACCATCACAGAAAATAAAACCTTTTAAAAACTCTTTTCTTGAAATTTTATGTATGGCACTTTTTTATTTGTGTAGGACAGATAAATGTGTGAATGGAGGTGCAGCTGTGGCTGATGAATAAACCACTGAAAATCTGTACAATGTACATTCAAGAATTTACAAAAATCATATATTATTTTTTACTGCAGTCTGAAATGATGGTTCACAATGAATCCATCAATGACTCTGTGTTTTTTTTTTTTTTGTGTGTTTATTGACTTTTTCAGAACTAAGTGGAATGGGGGTCTTTTTGCACTCATTTCTTGGTTCTACATGAGGGCATGTGTGGCTCTCTTCAATCACAGCGGCTACTGAGACTTGTTATTGTGCTTTCATCAAGCGTACGTGTCACAGAACACTGGAATCAGACGGTCTCACACAAACGGCAGACTCCAAGCCAGCTGGACAGAAACTGGTTCCACAAACTGGCCCAGCGTCGTTTTGATGCCATGTTGTCAAAATATTTAATATCTCAACACATTAACAGAGGCGAGGGGGGTGGTGAGGGCTTCATGGCATTCATATCCACCAGGAACAAAGTACTCTCACTTATAAAGAACAGACGCGACTTCAAGGCAAAAATATTATGAAATATCAGTATTTTATGGAAATATGGTAACTGGATTTGACCCAGCACCTATTACAAACACACACACACGCACACAATCAAAACACACTCACAAAAAAACCAAAAAGAAAAAGAACAAGATGACCTCCATCTCCAGTCTGTGTTTGTACTGCTCTTGCGCCATGTTTAATTTTAACACAGCTTTTAAAACAGAGACGAGAACTTGATTCCGGGTCCGGAAGCCCCGTGCGATAAGGGCTGCAGACCTTCTGAAGGTCACATTTCCATTCTGCCTGAGAAGTGTTGCTGCATGCTACATGCTGTATATGGTGCGCTGCATGTTCCGTGTTGGGGGCTACATGCTGTGTGGTGTGTGCTGCG